TGGTCTCGATCTCTTGACCTCGTGATCCACCCGCCTCGGCCTCCCAAAGTGCTGGGATTACAGGCTTGAGCCACCGCGCCCGGCCGCTTTTTTTTTTTTTTTAACTAACATATAGTATAGTTGACATACGTGTGTGTGTGTGTGTGTGTGTGTGTGTGTGTGTGTGTGTGTGTGTGTGTGCCTGCCCACAAAGGTCTATGAATTTTAACAAATACATAGATCAATGTAACCACCACCGTCACTTCAAAAAGAATTCTCTCACGCTAGTTGTTTGTTTTTTTGAGACAGGGTCTCTGTCACCCAGAAAGGAGTGTGTTGGCATGATCATGGCTCACTGCAGCCTTGACCTCCCACCCAGCCTTCCGAGTGGCTAGGACTAGCAGTGTGCATCATGTCCAGCTAATTTTTTATATTTTTTATAGAGATGGGGTTTCCCCATTTTGTCCAGGCTGTTCTCAAATTCCTGGGTTAAAGCAGTGCTCCATCATGGCCTCCCAAAGTGCTGGGATTACAGGCATGAGCCACTGTGCCCAGACTTTTGCTAGTCTTTGTAGTCGCATTCTCCCTCATCTCTAATCCCTGGCAACCACTGATCTGTTCATTATCACTGTACTTATGTCTTTTCCAAACATCACAGAAAATAGAGTCACATAACATGTGACCTTTTGAGGCTGCTTTCTTTCCCGTAGCATAGTGCTTTCGGATTCATCCAAGTTGTGTGTATAAGTAGTTCACTCTTTTTAATCACCACATAATGTTCCATCATCAGCCATGTTTCTTTTGTTTTTAACCTCAAGTTCAGTATTCTTCCTCTCACACCAACTGCCTTGTGTACACATCACTTAACAATTAGAAACACAGGCCGGGCGCGGTGGCTCACACCTATAATCCCAGCACTTTGGGAGGCCAAGGTGGGTGGATCATGAGGTCAAGAGATCGAGACCATCCTGGTCAATATGGTGAAACCCCATCTCTACTAAAAATACAAAAATTAGCTGGGCATGGTGGCGCGGGCCTGTAGTCCCAGCTACTAGGGAGGCTGAGGCAGGAGAATTGCTTGAACCCAGGAGGCAGAGGTTGCCGTGAGCCGAGATCGTGCCATTGCACTCCAACCTGGGTAACGAGTGAAACTACATCTCAAAAAAAAAAAAAAAATGTCTGAGAGAGTTTGAATAGTGGGAAGAACTTCAGTTTTGAAGTGAGACCACTGGAGTTTGGATTCCAGCTCCAGTAGGATGTGGGATAAGTTCCTTAACCTCTCTGAGTGTCAGTTTCTTTTTCTGTTAAATAGGGCTAACATTATTTATTTCATAGAGATGTGGTGAGGGTAAAATGGGATGATGTGCAAACAAGGGGGCAGTTTATTTTTAGTTCACTAGGCATTTGAGTGAAAGGCATATTTCTGTCACTTGCTGAACACTGAGAACCTATGTTCTTTGACCCGTCCATTGGATTCTCAGGGCCTGGAAATGCTACAGCATGCCCTGGGACGTGAGTGGCTTCCACTGAGAGAGCCCAGTTGGGCTGATAGCCTTGTCTCCTCTTTTCTCCTTTAGAAAGGGACCACCATGAAAGGCTTGCAGATGACCGGGCCCATTTCCACGCACTCTCTGGAGTCAACTGCACCCCCAGTGGGGAAGAAGGGAACCTCAGCTCTCTCTGCCCTGTTGGAGATGGAGGCCAGTCAGAAGTAAGTGCCTGGTGGAAGAGTGACTTGTCCCCATCTTGAGGGCGCTGAGGGTTTTCAGTGCCCTGTCCCCATGACGGGGTGAAATATTTCCTTCTGCAAGGAGCTTGTAATTAGGAAGAAGACATTTACATGAAAAGAAAGCTAGGTTACTACCTGGTAGGTGTTGGATAACATGAAATAGGCCAGAGGTTATAATCTTTTAGATCAGGACTTAATTTGAATTACAGACTCCTGTGGCCCACAAATTATTTCAAAATATTTGAGCCAGGGCCAGGTGCAGTGGGTCAGGCCTGTAATCCCACCACTTTGGAAGGCCGAGGTGGGTAGATCACTTGAGGCCAGGAGTTTGAGACCAGCCTGACCAACATGGCAAAACCCAGTCTTTATTGGAAAAAAGAAAGAAAAAAAAGTCAGGTGTATTAGTCCATTCTCACACTGCTAATAAAGAATACCTGACACTAGGTAATTTATAAAGGAAGTAAGTTTAATCAACTCACAGTTCTACAGGCTAGGGAGGCCTCAGGAAACTTATAATCATGGTAGAAGAGGAAGCAAACACATTCTTGTTCACATAGCAGCAGCAAGAAGTGCAGAGTGAAGGTGGGAGGAAAGCCCCTTATAAAACATCACGTCACATGGGAACTTACTATCATGAGAATAGCATGGAGGTAACCACCCCCATGATTAAATTACCTCCCACCTCGACCCTCCCATGACATGTGGGGATTATGGGAACCATAACTCAGGATAAGATTTGGGTGAGGACACAGTCAAACCATATCATTCCACTCCTGGCCCCTCCCAGTTCTCATGTCCTTTCATTTCAAAACACAGTCATGCCTTCCCAGCAGTTCCCCAAAATCTTAATTCATTCCAGCATTAACTCAGAAGTCCAAATCCAATGTCTCATGTGAGACAAGGCAAATCCCTTTTGCCTGTGACCCTGTAAAGTCAAAAGCAAGTTAGTTACTTCCTTGATACAGTTGGCTATAGGCATTGGGTAAATACATACATTCCAAATGGAGAAATTAGCCAAAATAAAGGGGACACAGGCCTCATGCAAGTCTGAAATCTAATAGGGCAGCCATTAAACTTTAAAGTTCCAAAATATCTCCTTTGACTCCATTTCCCACATTCAGGACACGCTGATGCAAATGTAAGAGGTCGGCTCCCAGGGCCTGGGATAGCTCTGCCCCCGTGGCTCTGCAAGGTACCATTCCCCTTCATGCTGCTTTCATGGGCTGGCATCGAGTATCTGCCACTTTTCCAGGTGCATGGTGGAAGCTGTTGATGCAGCTACCATTCTGGGGTCTGGAGGATGGTGGCCCTCTTCTCACAGCTCTGCTAGGCAGTATCCCAGCGGGGGCTCTTTGTGGGGGCTCCAACCCTACATTTCACTTCTGTACTGCCCTAACAGAGGTTCTCCATGAGGGCCCTGACCTTGCAGCAAGCTTCTGTCTCCTCTGAAATCTAGGCAGAGGTTCCCAAACCTCAGTTCTTGACTTCTGTGGACCTGCAGGCTCAACACCACATAGAAGCTGCCAAGGCTTGGGGCTTACACCCTCTGAAGCCATGCCTGATCTATACCTTGGCCCCTTCTAGCTGTGGCTGGAGTAGCTGGGATGCAGTGCACCAAGTCCCTAGGCCAGGCCTAGGAAACCAATTTTTTCTCCTAGGCCTCCACTCCTGTAATGGGAGGGGCTGTGTGAAGTTCTCTGACATGCCCTGGAGACATTTTCCCATTGCCTTGGTGATTAACATTAAGCTCCTTGTTACTTAGACAAATTTCTGTAGTAGGCTTGAATTTCTCCCCAGAAAATGGGTTTTTCTTTTCTGTCACACCTTCAGGCTGCCAATTTTCCAAACTTTTATGCTCTGCTTCCTCTTGAACACTTTGTCACTTAGAAATTTCTTCCTCCAGATATCCTAAATCATCTTCTCAAGTTCAAAGTTTCACAGATCTCTAGGGCAGGAGCAAAATGCTGCCAGTCTCTCTGCATAGCAGGGGTGACCTTTACCTCATTTCCGAGCAAGTTCGCCATCTCCATCTGAGACCACCTCCGCTTGGACTTCATTGTCCATATCACTATCAGCATTTTGGTCAAAGCCATTCAACAAGTTTCTAGGGGAAGTGTCAGACTTCCCTACATCTTCCTGTCTTTTGAGCCCTCCAAGTCACCAGGAAGTTCCAAACTTTCCCACATTTTCCTGTCTTCTTCTGAGCCCCCCAAACTCTTCCAACCTCTGCCTGTTACCCGGTTCCAAAGTTGTTCCCACATTTTCGGGTATCTTTACAGTAGTGCCCCACTCCCCAGTACCATTTTACTGTATTAGTCCATTCTCGTGCCACTAATAAAAACATACCTGAGACTGGGTAATTTATAAAGGAAAGAGGTTTAATTGATTCACTGTTCGACATGGCTGGGGAGGCCTCAGGAAACTTAAAATAATGGCAGAAGGGGAAGCAAAATACATCCTTCTTCACATGGCAGCAGCAAAGTGCAGAGTGAAGGGGAAGGCAAGCCCCTTATAAAATCATCAGATCTTGGCCAAGCGTAGTGGCTCATACCTGTAATCCCAGCACTTTGGGAGGCTGAGGCGGGTAAATCACCTGAGGTCAGGAGTTCAAGACCAGCCAGGCCAACATAGTGAAACCCCATCTCTGCTAATAATACAAAAATTACCTGGGTGTAGTGGCACATGCCTGTAATCCCAGCAACTCAGGAGGCTGAGGCAAGATAATGGCTGGAACCTGGGAGGCGGAGGTTGCAATGAGCTGAGATTGCACCACTGCACTTTAGCCTGGGTGACAGAGCAAGACTCCATCTCAAAAAAAAAAAAAAAAAGTAAATAAAATAGAACCATCACATCTCATGAGAACTCACTATCACAAGAATATAGTGGAGGTAACTGCCGCCATGATTCAATTACCTCCCACTGGGTCCCTCCCAAGACATGGGGATTATGAGAACTATAATTTGGGATGAGATTTGGGAGGGGACACAGCCAAACCATCTCACCAGGCATGGTGGTGCACGCATGTAATCACAGCTACTTCAGTGGCTGAAGCACGAAAATAGCTTGAACTCAAGAGGTGAAGGTTGCAGTGAGCCAAGATTATGCCACTAAACTCCAGCCTGGGTGATAGAGTGAGACTGTCTCAACAGGAGCAACAACAACAAAATTTGAACCAGGTTTTAAATTTGAAGATTCTGTATAAAAATCTGGATTGTATGTTAATTTTTATATTAAAAATATACATTATATATGTGACATGATAGATGATTATATTATAAAATAATGTATTATAGATAATATACTATAGTACTCTTTTTTTTTTTTTTTTTTTTTGAGATGGAGTTTCACTCTTGTTACCCAGGCTGGAGTGCAATGGCGCAATCTCGGCTCACCGCAACCTCCGCCTCCTGGGCTCAGGCAATTCTCCTGCCTCAACCTCCTGAGTCACTGGGATTACAGGCACGCGCCACCATGCGCAGCTAATGTTTTGTATTTTCAGTAGAGACGGGGTTTCACCATGTTGACTAGGATGGTGTCAATCTCTTGACCTCGTGATCCACCCGCCTCGGCCTCCCTAAGTGCTGGGATTACAGGCGTGAGCCACTGCGCCCGGCACTATAGTACTCTTAATCCACAATTTCAGTTACTCAAGGTCAACCGTGGTCCAAAAATAGGCGAGTACAATGCAATAAGATATTTTGAGACAGAGAAAGAGAGAGACCACATTCATACAACTTTTCTTACGGTATATGGTATGGTTGTTCTATTTATTATTAGTTATTATTGATAATCTCTTACTGTGCGGAATTTATAAATGAAACTTTAGCGTAGGTATGTATTTATAGAGAAAAAACATAGTATATATAGGGCTTGGTACTACCCTAGGTTTCAGACATCCACTAGGGGTCGTGGAACATATCCCCCTCAAATAAGTGGGGACTACTGCAATGCAAAATTGGCCAGGCGCTGTAGCCCATGTCTGTAATCCTAGAACTTTGGGAGGCCAAGTCAGACGGATTTCTTGAGCTCAGGAGTTCGAGACTAGTCTGGGCAACATAGACCCAATCTTCCAAAAAAAAGTTATAGTTAATGTATAAAATCCAGTTTTGTTTGAAATAGTGGAGACTTTGTTAACACAGGGTCCACGTTTGTACCCAGCCACGGTGAGCTGGCACTTCAGAAGGGGCATATGCCTTGGGTTAACACTCTGGTCTTAAACTTGTCTTACATGCTCAGTTATGCTCCTGGCCAGCTTCTCTAGGCCTTTGGGTGTGTGGCTGCTTTATAAACAGTGCAAGAGTTGATAGTACACGTTGGGACCACACTTGACATGGCAGGGAGAATGTGGTATTATGGGAGGTGGGATTCAAGCTGGCATTGTAGGAAGCAAAGCCTTTACATAGGGGAGGTTGAGACTTGAGGAAAGAGAAAACATTGCCTTTGGTGGCCTTCCCTGCCCCTCTCCACCTCACAGCTAGATCAGGTTCCTCCCTGTGCTTGCCAGCATCCTGGACCTATATCCATCAGAGCATTTACCAGTATTCTGCTGGGAGCCACAGTCGTCAGTTGACTTCTGCCTGACTTGACTGTGTGCTCTGAGGCCAGAGGCTGTGTGCCATGCCTGGCACATAGTAGGTGTGTAATGGATATTTATTGAATGATGGTGGGCGGAATGCTGAGGGTCCCCTTGTAGAGATGTGGGGTGAGCATGTTAGGGGAGGCTAGACCTTGTCTGGTATGAGAGTCTGTTGTGCCCACAGGAACCTGCACACATTAGGCTTTCTGGAAGTAACATTGAACAAGCAAGCGTGAGGTATGGTAGGGAGATGGAATTGGAAAGACAGTGTGGGAAGTTGGATGCCAGGCTGTCCTTACACATTCTCATGGCAAGAGGAATCCTTTGAAAGTTTTAAAAATTCTATTAGAGGCTGGGCATGGTAGCTCATGCCTGTAATTCCATCACTTCGGGAGACTGAGAGGGC